AGAGAGAGAGAGAGAGAGAGAGAGAGAGAGAGAGAGAGAGAGAGAACAATAAAGATTTATTTGTTTTTATTTTGCTTGTGTGTTTTGCCTACACGTTTATTATTTGTATGCAGTACATGTGGCGACCAGAAGAGGGCATCAGATCCCTGGAAGTTCAGTTACAGACAGTTGTGAGCTGCCATGGGGCTGCTGGAAACTGAAGTAGGGCCCTCTGTAAGAGCATCAAAAGCTGTTAACTCTAAGACGGCTCTCCAGCCCCTCTTCCAAGGAACTTCTGAGTTTATTCCCTCTACCATGGATAAATCCCAGGATTTTAATTTCTAGTGTTCACGCCAGGCTTTCAGACCCAACCAGAGGAAGTTGTCAGTCAGAGCAGGGCGACCGCAGCAGGGAGCACGCGTCAAGTTTTACACGTGAAATATTCTCATTTTCACCTAACAAATGGTATATCTACTCAATCTCTCTTAAATGTGCCCGTTCCACAGATAGAAGCAGCATTTGAACAGAGAATCAGCCTTTCGGCCACTGGATACTTCAGGTAAAACTCAAACAACATCTCGGCTTAGCTACGAGACCATAAGGTTATCGGATTACTTTGGGCCTCAGCCCTTATTCATAAGAAAGAGTGTATTATATAGTTATGGGAGTTTATTCTAGTCCCAAAATTCTGTGGATTCACATAGGCCTCTGTGTGGTATAGCTAAAGAAATATTGAATAATTAACAACCCATATAGGATTGAAAACACTCTGATTTATCTAATATTATTTACAATTATTTGCTGTTTGTTCTGGTGCTGGGGAGTGAACCTAGGATTTTGCACATGCAAGGCAAGCGTTCTAGCGCCGACCTACACCCTCAGTCCTTACTGTTCTTTGTCGTGAATAGAGACATCATCCCCAGAACTAACTTCTCACTCAGTCTTCCCAGCCTCCCTCCTGTGTCATAAAACCCTTCTCCCCTGAGGCAGGCTTTGGGGGGTGGGGTGAGAAATCATTTATCATATAGACAGTGTTGATCAATGGGGGGTCTTAATAAATCCATGTTAATTAAATACATGAAGCAATGAGAAGAGCTGACTATCAAACTCAAGAAGGATACATGGCACTATGGTTCCAATTTAGTCTACACACGTCTGCACAAAAGGAAACGCTTGTGGGGGAAGGGAGAGGAGAGGTGACGACCAGTCCAGTGCAGCCCCAGAATAGCCCGTCCAGCCCTCCGTGTGAGCACATCTTCAGGGTGGGAGTGTGGTCCAGTGAGAGAGGCCCTGGGTTCAAACTGCAGCTCTGCAAAAAGTAATACTAGGATAAAAACAAGACCTGAAGCCGTTGGCCGCATCTTCGTGTGTAAATGAATGAATAGGATCGCTGGGTCCTCTTTATCTGCCTTGCTAACTTGTCACCAAGTCCCCTGTGGCTTGGGTTAGCACATTCGATGGGCGCTTTGTGGGAACACAGCCCCAAATTAATGGGGTTTCCCAATGTGCAGATAGGACCCAAGGTCAAATAACTGTCAACGTGGGAGCAAACGTCACTGTCCTCTTCGTCTTTGACATCCCTCCCACAGCTCAAGGCATATCCTCTTTAAGACAGATAAAGGGGGCTGGAGAGTTGGCTCCGCAGTTAAGAGTACTGCCTGCTGTTCCAGAGGTTCTGAGTTCAATTCCAGCAACCACATGATGGCTCACAACCATCTGTAGTAAGAACTGGTGCCCTCTTCTGGCCTTCAGAACACTGTACATATAATGAATAAATAAATCTTTAAAAAAAAAAAAAGACAGATGAAGGTAGCTGTCTTGGTGAATACAAGACAGCAGCTTGAATGGACTAAAAAAACAATAAAATAAAACAAAAGAAAGACTAGTCGAAGGGGCTGGAGAGATGACTCAGAAATTAAGAACAGCAGCTGCTCTTCCAGTGGTCCTGAGTTCAATTCCTAGCAACCACATGGTGGCTCACAACCATCTATAATGAGATCTGGTGCCCTCTTCTGGCCTGCAGGCAGAACACTGTATAAATAAATAAATAATTTTTTTTTTTAAAAAAAAAAAGCTAGCTGAAATGAGTATCAGCCAGCTGAAATGCTATTGTAAACTATGGTATATTTTTTTTAAAGCTATGGCTATTGTTTGCGGTTTCTGCCCTCCCGCATTCTAAAGGACTTTATCCCCTCAGGGGCTACAAGGCCTTTATGGACTGGGAGAAGCAGGAGGGGGACCCGTTCCCGTACTACGTCTATGGAGCTGCCTGTTCCGAGGTTGAGATCGACTGCCTGACAGGAGCTCACAAGGTCAGTTGGGCTAACACTGCCCCCACAAGCGAGCAGGAGCAACCAGAGAAAGTGGCCCAGGGTCCTTACCTAACCGACAGGGGAGCAGAGAATTCTTTCAACGCCATGGAGATTGCAAGAGATCTAGTCAGCTCTTGGAACTATCACGGAAGCTAACAGTATGGCGGTCAGAAAGGAGTGTCTACGTCTGGCTGAATGTGATCAATGCGTTAGGTATCACTTCATTCCAGACGGCAGAGTTGGTTTCCCAAGTCTTCCCCAAGAGCGGGTTTTACTCCCCAAGGAAGGACAAGTCGTGATGCCCAACGGTAGCCATCAATCCCCCCAGGGCAGTACAGATGTCCCAAGGAACAGACGGGTGGAGCAGGGTGTGAAAAGGAGATTGTGCCAGCTGTTGATCGTCAAGAAGCCACCTACTGAAGGCAGGAAGTGTGTCTAGACAAATTCATCGTACCACAAACGACAAGCCCTGTGACTTATACTTCGGATACCACTCTGGAAATAAAAATGGCAGAAGTATCAAATAACAGAATAAAATATAACCCAAGTATAGGAAGTTGTTGCATTAGGAAAATTATAATGGCTATATCATATCAAAATGCTTCTATGTATTTATTGTTAGTTAATTTTTCTTCCACTTTAATATTATAAGGGGAAAAAATGGTTTTGGAGACAGGGTCTCAGGTAGCCCCGGCTGGCCTTGAACTCGAATTTCCAATCTTACTGCTCCCTTCTCTGAAATGCTGGGCTTCTAAGCATGTGTAGGCATGTCCAGTTTATGCAGGGCTAGAGACCACACTCAGAACCACGCCCCCAGCCCATGGTTTAAGGAGGCAGGGAATGAAGAGAAGAGACGTCTGGAAAGAAGTACCCTCCTAAGTTTCTTTCTGATACATTATATTACATCAACCTGTTTTTGTGTCTATTATTTTTTTTTTCCTGAGGAGGGCACTGGCACGTGTGGAAGTCAGAAGACAGTTTGTGAGAATCAGCACAGTCTTCCAGAAGGGTCCTAGGGATCAAACTCCCATCGCCAGCAATGGCAGCAAGCACCTTTAACTGCTGAGCCATCTTGCTGGTCTCTGTGGTTCCATTTTTTTTCCAAGACAGGGGCCAGACCTAGCTGTCCTGGAACTAGATTTGTAGACCAGGCTGACCTCTAACGCATAGAGATCCATCTACTTCTGCCTCCAGAGTGCTGGGATTAAGGGTGTGTGCCACCACTGCCCGGTTGTGGATCCATTTTTATTTGAGATCATTTTAAAGTGGAAAGCTATGTGGTCACAGACTGTCTGTGATTAGTTTAGGTTGTTTCACGGTGGTTTCCACGCAGAGGCACACACAGATCATGGTGTTTGTGCAGCAGTCCTGGAGGTGAACCTGGGACCTGCCTCAGGCTCCCCTCAAACACCCAGATGCCAGTGTCCCTGCCTTCCTGAGACTCTTGCCTGCTGGCTTGGGTGACAAGCTAGTCATAAGACCTTCCACACTGACAGGTGTGTTGCCAGGTTTAGCAAATAAAAGCACGGGTTGGATAATTAAACTGGAATTCCAAGGAAACACCAAATACACTTCCAGCAGAAATAGGCCCCATGCAGTCCTTGGGACATCTTAAATGTGTCAGCTCGACCTAAAGAATCCCTAAAGAAAGGAACACAGGACTCGTCTAGAATTTATGGAGTCAGAAAGTTAAACTTTGGCCTTTTCTGTGCCTTCCAGTTTATATTTATAACTAAAGGTCCAGAAATTTCAGTGTGATGTTAAGCTCTCAAGAACAGTCTGTTCTTTGACGAGACAAAACTTCTTCCATTAACCAACAAGAAATCCCGAGACACTAAATCGCCAGCTCACTGTGGTCGGTTCTATGAGGTGCCGTCCTCTGGGGATGTACGTAGCCAGTAAACACAGGTTTCCAAATGCTGAGTGGCCGTCTTCTTCCCTTGTCCCATACCCACAGCAGAAACTACAGCAAGTGTCGGAGTAAATGTACCGTGGGGAGGGCTGAGGCGTCTCCAACCTCCCTTCCTGCCCAGGCTGAGAAGGAAGGCTGGGCCTGATAGACCAGGGTTCGAGCCAGGAGACAATTACCAACTAGGAGATGGTGGGAAACACCTGTGATCCCAGCATTGTGCAACTGAGGCCAGAAAACCACAAGTTCAAGACCAGCCTCAGTTTCAAAAACAACGAAGAGAAGGACTGGGTATATAGTCCAGCTGAGAGGATATTCACTTAGCACGAACGAAGCCCTGGACTGCGTGCTAATCCCAGTACCGCGTAAAACTAGGTGTGTTGGTCCGTGACTGTAATTGTGGCCCTGTAAAGGGACCAGGCAGAAGGATCTGAAGAAGCCATTTACAGCTCTGGGCCAGCCTGCGTTATGTGAGACCCTGTTCAAAGGAAGTGAGGGAGAATGGAAAGACTGGAGGGAGGGAGACTGAGAGGGAGGGAGGGACTTCCAATCCAGAGACTAGAAAGGAGAAGCCCAGATATTAAACCGAAACAAAGAAAGGTGTTATCAGAATAAATACTTAGGGATGGTAAGCAAAGGAAAGCCCAGCGGTATTCCTGAGATAGCCCAAGGACACTTAGAAGCTTCTGAGGCCCCCAACAATTGTTTGTGTGCACACGCACATATGCGTGTGCGCGCGCACACACACACAGTGACGAAACAGACGGGCCAGGTAGCTTCACTGTCTCTCGGAGAAGGAAGCAGACCCACAAAGACTGAGAGTCAGAACTGGCCTCAGCACCTACCTTGGCCCCTTCTAAAATCTTGCCCCTAAACTTATACACACAATGTACTAGATGATTTTCTCAGTAAAATGCTGCCCACGTCCAACCCTTTCAAGGACTAGATATGCTCATGAATTCTACTAGAGCAATGAAGTCAGGTGGCCAAGCAGGGTGGCCAAGCAGGCTCAATGATTTACCGGGTGATTCACTCACACACGCCAACATGCCTTGGACTTTGGAGTCGCTTAGCAGGAGCCAAAACAATTCATGCAGACCTTCCAGGTCATCTCCAGGCCTGGCAACCACATGTGAAGTTTGCCAGACGTCTTCCCGCCTCTAACGCCGATAAGGTTCAGGGTAATGGTTCTGGACTAGCAAGAAGCTCATTGAAATTTCCTTTTTTGTTTGTTTGTTTATTGAAAGGGAGTTTACATGTTTGCCATAGCACACACGTGGAGGTTAGAAGATAACTTTCAGAATTCAGGTCTCTCCTTCTGCCACATGGGTCCAGGGTTTGAACTCAAGGTCACCAACTGGGACAGCAAATGCCTTTATGCTCCGAGCTAACCTAAAGACAGTATTTGTGTGTGTGTGTGTGTGTGTGTGTGTGTGTGTGTTTGTGCATGCATGCATGTGAGAGAGAGAGATACTAGGGATCAAGCCTCAGGCTTTGTGCATACTAAACAAACACGCCAGTACTGAACTATATCCTTCGCCCCTTAAAATAGTTTAATTTTAATTCAGTTTTTATAAAGAGGTAATTTCTGTTTGGCTCAGAAAATCAGAACGGACATTGTCATGGATGCCTGTTGCAGCCTGAATCCAGCCATTGATGTCGGGCAGGTAGGTGCTGGCCCACCTGGAGGAAACCCCTGAGTGGTTAAAGGGGAAATAAGGAGCTTCTCACAAGGACACGTTGCCAGACTAAAATTTGCCATTCTCCCCTTTAGATAGAAGGCGCATTTATTCAGGGAATGGGTCTTTACACCACGGAAGAGCTGCACTATTCTCCAGAAGGGGTCTTGTACTCTCGGAGCCCGGAGGAGTACAAAATTCCGAGCGTCACTGATGTCCCTCAGCAATTCAACGTGTCCTTGTTGCCCAACTCTGAGACTCCGCTAACCATCTACTCGTCTAAGGTGAGCACATCACTTTAGGTTACCTCCACGCCGCAGCAGCCCAGGGATCGTGGCCAGCAGAGGCTGCCAGACAAAACAAAAACTGGAGGCACATGGTTATCTGGATCAGGACCCTTGGAGACCAGTCACCTAGAAAAAAACTGAAGTCCAAGAAAGAGAAATGAGTCTCCTGGAGCAATCCTGATCCCAGGTTTCATTAATACCTTCTCTCCTTGAAATATAAATTGCATACACAGACACACACATACACACACACACACACACACACACACACACACACACACACCTAGGAGCAGGCACGGTCTTACTTTGTAATTTCTTCTTGTTCATTCAGGAGTAAATTGATTTTCTTTTCAGAAGCAAGAAAAACAACTGCAGGAATTTCATCCATTTCCAAACTGAATCCCCGCCGCCTAGGCGTCTCCTCTGGGTTGGTGAGACCACCACAGATTCAGAGGGAGGAGCATGGACAGGGCCTTCAGACTCTTGCTGGGCTGGAAGGCATCTGCAGGGGGAGGGGCAAAGGTAGCCCAGAGGCTCCAGAGAACAGCTTCAGGTCGAGAGTTCCCAGGCAGGGCATGAGGATCATGAACTCAATGCCTGCCTAGGCTCCAGAGCAAGATTCCTCCAGAAAAAAAAAAACAAGGACCAAGAGGGGCGTGGTGATATATTCCTATAACGTTGACACTCAGGAAGTAAAGGGAGGAAGATATTTGGGTTGGATATTTGTAGCCAGCCTGGTCCACTCCATAAGCACACTTCACAGCCTGAGTTCCATAGCAATGCCTTTGTCTCAGAAACCAAACTTAACCCGGGAATCAGGATGAGTTCTTTCCTCTGCTCATGAAGTTGGCGAGTTCAAACCATCGACTGTTCTAATCAGGGCGCCCTTCTCTCACCACACAGAAATACACATACACCTTGTGTGTGCACATGCATGTAAACACACATGCATTCCTTTCCCATAGGACAAATACTTAACTCAGAGAGAATTAAAGATTCAGAAAATTCAGGTTTTTTTTTTTTAAGAACTCTAGGAGCCTCACTTGCTTGGTAAGCTGAACGATAAACCTTTGAGATGTTTGAGAAATTAATTATAGGAAACTGTATGCCAGGGACTGAGTACAAATGCTGAACAATGCTATCCTCGAAGTAGCTAGAGAAACTTTTAAAACAAACGTGTTGCAACAACAGGTGCTTTCTGTGAATTCAACCTGGTCTGCAGAGTGAGTTTGGGGCCAGTCAGAGCCACAGAGTGAGACCCTGTCCGAAAACAAACAAAAATCAAAATCAATAAAACAGACAAATGTGTTTTCTTACAGGGCCTGGGGGAGTCTGGGATGTTCCTGGGGTCATCTGTGTTCTTTGCCATTGCCGATGCGGTGGCTGCGGCGCGAAGAGAACGAGACCCCTCCGAGGACTTCACAGTGCAGAGCCCAGCAACGCCGGAGCGGGTGCGCATGGCCTGTGCGGATCGGTTCACAGACATGGTAGGCTGGCGTTCCGTCTCCACAAGCTCAGTTCTGCTTCCTGAGCCTTTGGCTTCTTGCGTAAATCGTGATGCCGCCTATGTCTAGTTGATCGAGCTATACAATGCTCAGTAAATGATTCACGCAATCGAACGTGGCGGCGCGTTTGTCATCTCAGCAGCTGAGGCAGGAGAGTCGCCAGCAGGGGTTCAGTCATTCATTCCACTCCCTTGAATGCAGCTACAGTGCTTGTCATCTGCCTCCGACCCCAGTGTCTCCTCTGTGGGCAGAGGCAGGGACCTGACCCCGGCGCCGATGCCCATGTTCTGTTCTGATCTTGCTTGTCACGTGGCCTCTGCAAGCTCGCCTTGTCTCTTACCCCAAAGCTTGGGCACATGCGACCTTCAAAGCAATATTCTCGGTCCCATTTTACAAGAATCAGGTTCCTTTTTCTGGAACGGAAGCATAGCAAGGAAACTAAACACACGTAATAAAGAACTCTTCAGAAACTGCCCTGCTCGCTGAGGGTCCTGTTCTCCCGGCTTCTGACAGCCTGGCTCCTGGAAAATGGGCTCCTGCATCTCCACAGATCTAGACCGTTTTTAGCACCCTGGTTGCTCGGCAAAGCCTACAGTGTGGAGAACTCAATCATTTAGGTTACTCACTATTCAGGAAAAGGTGGCTAGGCTCTGAGGCACAACAAGGTCTGAGGATTCCTTGTTGAGACCTTGTCAAAATGTCCTCGTGGACACCAGTTGTTGCCCATGTAAGAGTAGTCTCACGCAGCCTAGTCTGACCTCACATTTGCCATGGAGTCCAGGATAGCTTGGAACTCCTGATCCTCCTGCCTCTACCTTCCAGGTGCTGGAATTACAGGCCTGTGCCACCATGCTGCGCTGTTGGCCACAGTTGAAATATGGATGCTGATCTAAAACTGGGAGTGTAGTTCAATAATAGCATCTGTCTTTGCCTAGCATACTAAAAGCCTTGCGCTTAGTCCCCAGCACAGAAAGAAGAGGGGGGAAAAAAGTCAAGGGGGTATATAATAATGATCCACATCAACACACAATGTTATAACCAGCCCTAAAATAAATAATTTTTGTTTTCACTCAGAAGGCATGGACAGGAGGATTATTTCAAGTTCAAGCCCAGCCTAGTGTACCGAGTGAGTTCCAGGCTAGCCAGAGCTACATAGCAAGACCCTGTATCAAAAAAAGAAAAAAGGAAAGAAGAGAAAAATGAAGGCTGAGGTGGCTCGGAGGTTAAGAGGGCTTGCATTTCTAAGAAGCCGCATCAGGCAGCTCACGACCGCCTGTAATGCCAGGTCCAAGAGACACCACACTTTCTCCTGGTTTCTGTGGGCACCTGCACTCATGCACATAGAACATACATACTAGAGGGATTCTTATTTAGCCTTTGAATTCTGAAATAAAAAAAAGAGCTTGTTCTGATGACTAAGAGAATGAGAAGGTCGGTGTTCTAGAATACAGGCCATCCTCGTTTGGTTACTTCTTCCTCGCCATTAGAGAAACAACAGCTTACACCTGAATCTTTTTCTAAAACAGAAACGATGGTTAAAACACTCAGTACTTTCCCCTTGGAATTAAATGAAATAATACACATAAAAATACCGTGTAAATACAAGTTGCTCCATAAGCACTAGAGTTAAGTTCTCCCCTAAATACCCGTAACCGTTAATGACCTTCTAAACATGCCTCTCCTAGGAAGCTGAAATAACACCTCCACATCAAACCAAGCACAACCTGCTGAGCCCAGAACAAACAGTAATTTACAAAAAAAAAAAAAAGCCACATTTTCATGGGTAAACTAGACATTTTGTTACCAAAACACAACAAAAATCCCATTGAGTAAGCTTTTATGGCATACATAGTTTCGTTTTTCAGGGCTTTTGCTTGTGTTTTGCTTTGCCACTTGCTTGTTTTGCGTGTGCAAGGACGGGATCACCACGTGGGTACCAGGGATTGAACTTGGGTTGCAGGCCTTGGCTGAGTGAACCTTTACCCAATAAGCCTTCGTCCCAGCCCTACACAGAACTTGTTTGAGCATTTGCGTTTGGGGCCTCTCTTGGAATTAACCTCTGGTGAAAAACAGTGTCAGTGATTCTGTTCTCAGCAGTTCTGAGTGACCTGGCCCAACGGGAGAATGGGAGAAAGAAAAAAATGTGTTTTGTGTAATCATTTACAATTCCACAAGAGAAAAAATTCCCTTAGATATATAAAAATGAAAGAGACATAAAGTTTCAAATTAGTACTTCTTTTTTTTTTAAAGATTTATTTATTTATTTTGTATACAGCATTCTGCCTCCATGTATGCCCGCATGCCAGAAGAGGGCACCAGACCCCATTACAGATGGTTGTGAGCCACCATGTGATTGCTGGGAATTGAACTCAGGACGTCTGGAAGAGCAGCCAGTGCTCTTAACCTCTGAGCCATCTCTCCAGCCCCAAATTAGTACTTCTTAGAAACAAGATTTAAAACAAAAATCTTTAAAAGTTTTTAAATGAATTTTTTAATTAACGTTCTCCCCCTCCGTGTGTGTGTGTGTGTGTGTGTGTGCGCGCACACACACACACATACACATGCACACACGTACACACTCTCATGCCATGGCAATTGTGTGGCGGTCGGAGGACAACTCTTAGGAGGTGAATCTCTCTCTCCATAGGTCTCAGGGACTGACCTGCTAAACCATCTTGCCAGCTTTAACTAAAGATTTAAAAAAGAAAAGTTGTTAAAATTTTCAGACAGACAGAAAGGATTTCATACCCTTATAAATTAGAGGAAGAAAATTTCTAGCTTGAGGAATTTGGAGATAAGATAGATTCAAAAACAAGCCTGGTGTAGCGGTGCACACCTTTATTATCAATGCTTGGGAGGCAGAGGCAGGGGGAATCTCTGTGAGTTTGAGGCCAGCCTGGTCTACAGAAAGATTTCCAGGACAGGACAGGCCCCCAAAGTTACAGAAAAACCAAAAAAAGAAAGAAAGAAAGAAAGAAAGAAAGAAGGAAGGAAGGAAGGAAGGAAGGAAGGAAGGAAGGAAGGAAGGAAGGAAGGAAGGAAAAGAAAAACTTGGGAACCTCAGGGCAGAGGTGGCTCAGTCTTTAATCCCAGCACTTGGGAGGCAGAGGCAGGCGGATCTCTATGGGTTCCAGGAGAGCCTGGTCTACAGAGCCAGTTCTAGGACAGCCAAGGCTACATAGAAAAATCCTGTCTCGAAAACAAAAACAAAAACAAACAAACAAAAAACTTGGGACGTATTATCAATAGAGGATAATAATTAAATAGCTACAACGTTGTGACCTGTATGAGAGTTCTGGGTAAGGAGTGGTGGGCTTGCCCAGACTTACAAAGCCCTAAACTCCATCCCCAGCGTCACGGAGAAGGAAAAATGAAAAAGGAAGGAAGAAAAGATGAGCTCTATGGGGTGGCGCAGTGGAAACACAAGAAAGGTCAGTTAACAAGTTGTTTCCATTTCCAGGAAGCTAAAATCAACAGCCCAGCCTAGAGACAAGTTTGCAAACAGGGCTTTAGTTCATGCCACGTTCTGAAGAGCAGCCTTGGCCTTGCTGACTCATGGAGGAGCCGCCCAAACACCGCAGACCTGGGAAGTCTTTTCCTTAGATTAGTTCTCCATTCCAAACAGCCAGGCCTGCCGGGTCACAGAGGAGCCATGCTGCTGTGTGAGAGACTGGCCTCGATTCTGAAGGCTTACTCTTCCCCTGCAAATCCTGGGGGGCTCTCCAGGCACCGAGTCCCCTTCCTCTTCAATACTTTCTCTCTCGCCATCCCCGTATCTCATGTTCTCTGCCTGCTTTTCTCTCACGATGCCCAGACTCAGTAACAGTAAACGGGTTGCCTGCTTAGTTCACTAAAGGGAGCCCACTCCTTGCGGATGGCAGAGGAGAGACGGAGAATAACATAACGTCCTCCACAATCCCCATCTACTTATGCCAGTGGCTCAAGGTGAAGGGTGCTGGGCCCTCAGACTGTACCCAGCTCAGACTCCTCTGCACTAGAGGAGTTGGCACTGCAGTCTTGCAGGACTGCATTCCATTTCCTGGGGCGTATGTACCGCAACAAGTAGAAACATGCAGCCTCCCGTGTGTTCAGCTACAATCTTAGCCACAGACAATCAGCAGGGCCTTAATCTCAGCCATATGGATTCTTTGAGCCAGGAAAACAAAACAGACTGCATGACTCTGTACAGACTTCTCAGGGTAGAGCCTCCCCTGTACTGAAGCTACTCACCTGAGACATGAATGGACTCATGTATGCACACAGGCTCATGTATGCACACAGACTCATGTACGCACACAGGTTCATGCATGCACAGACTCATGTATGTACAGACTCATGTATGCACACAGATTCATGCATGCACACAGACTCATGCATGCACACAGGTTCATGCATGTACAGACTCATGTATGCACACAGACTCATGTATGCACACAGATTCATGTATGCACACAGACTCATGTATGTACAGACTCATGTATGCACACAGACTCATGTATGCACACAGACTCATGTATGCACACAGACTCATGTATGCACACAGACTCATGTATGTACAGACTCATGTATGCACACAGACTCATGTATGCACACAGACTCATGCATGTGCAGACTCATGTATGCACAGGCTTATGTGTGCACAGACTCATATATGCACACAGACTCATGTATGCACAGGCTTATGTGTGCACAGACTCATGTATGCACAGGCTCATGTATGCACAGACTCATTCCTCACCACATTCTTCTCCTACCCCTTTTGCCGTCTTGGAAGAGGTTGGGCATGTAGCTTGTAAAACTGGTTCTGCTTTAATCACGGATATCCAGGATGCAGGGACTGGCTTTGTTCCCTGCAGTGCCTGGTGACAGAAGACTGCTTCTGAACTCTTCTACAGAACCGTCTTCCCCGGCACTGTTCTGGTGGTCACGGCAGCGATGGTGTGGTGTGTTTCTGCAGTGCCAGCAATGGGCTGCAGGTCTTC